TTTTATTTGTATTTGCTAATGAAAAATATTGCTTTATTATATATATTATTTACTTTTTTATATTATTTTATATTAATTTGTATTGGTGAACAAGATGAAGCATTTAGTGTCGAAACGTACATAATAGATATATTTATTCATTAGTTGTTTTTCACAAAAATTAATTGCATCTATTTTTAAAAATATCTTAAAGAATATAAACTCAAAACTTGATATGAGAACAATATTAATAATGTTTATTGTTTTTGTTTCAAGAATTGACTGGTAATTTATTTTACTCACATTGAAATATATATATAATACTTTTACTAAATAATAACAATATATGTATAGTTATAAATTACTTTTTCGGAACTATTTATTTTAAATTTTTTCGAATGTCATATTAAGTTCGTTTATTTCTGCATAAAAATATTTACTATCATTATTATTAGTATTTTATATTGCAAATTTATTGATTTATTACTAGTTCTCATAATAGTCATTTTGAAAAATAATAAATACAAATTATAATATTTTATCATAAAAAATATTTAAATAAAAATCCAATTATTCTTGAATTTATATGAAGATTTTTGTTATTTTTTGTTAACTCATTTAAATATTATATTTTGCCAGTAAATTTATAAATTTTAGTATTTGTGCTTATAATAGACATACTGAAGTATAATATACCTAAATTATAAATTTTTGCCTAATTTTGTTTATGTAAAATCATCAATTTTAATATTTGTGCTTATAATAGACATACTAAAGTATAAAATACTCGAATTATAGCTTTCTAAAACAAAACTTTTTATTTAGAAAAATCAAAGTATCATTTACAAAATTTTATAAAGACTTTTCTAGACGAACTCGTTTTTTCCTATAATGTTAATTAAATCTTACAAAATACTAGTAAAATCATCAATTTTAATATTTTTGCTCATAATAGCATTCTAGAACAACGGGTTTTATTTAAATAAAAAATGAAAATATAACTTGTAAAATTATATAGACTGTTCTAGAGGAGCTCGGTCTTTTCATAATTATATTTATATCGTACAAAATACTAGTAAAATCATCAATTTAAATTTTTGTACTCATAATAAACCTATTGAAGTACAGTATACTCAAATTATAACATTGTAGAGCAAACGGTTTTATTTACATAAAAAATCAAAATATCACTTTTAAATTTATATGAAACTGTTTTAGACAAGCTTGGGTTCTTTACATAATTTTGATTATATCTTATAAAATACAAGTAAAATCACCAATTTTAGTATTTGTACTCATAACAGACATACTGAAGTGTAATATACTCAAATTAAAGGATTCTACTACCAATAGTTTTTATTTATATAAAAAATCAAAATATCAATTTATAATTACATGAAGACTTGCAATATACAATTTTGAAATTATATGAAGACTCTTCTAGGCGCGCTCGGTTTTTCCCATAATTTTATTTATATCTTGAGAAATAAAAGTAAAAACATCAATTTTAGTATTTGTACTCATAATAGACATACTGAAGTATAGTATAATCAAATTACAACATTCCACTACCAATGGTTTAATTTAAATAAAAATTCAAATCATTTTTTTAAATTATGTGCAGTCCTAGGCTTGCTCGGTTTTTTCTCATAATTTTATTTATATCAGTTAAAATAAAAGCAAAATCATCAATTTTAGTATTTGTACTCATAATAGACATATTGAAGTATAGTATACTGAAATTACAACACTCCAGTACAAAGGGTTTAGTTTAAATAATAAATCAAAATATATATTTATATTTATATGAAAACTTGCTCTAATCATTTTTAAAAATTATATGAAGACTATTCTAGACGTACTCGGTTGTTTCTTATAATTTTATTTATATTTTATGTAGAACAACTAAAATCATAAATTTTAGTTTTTGAACTCACAATAGACATATTGAAGTAGAATATACTCAAATTATAATTTTCTAGTACAAAAGATTTGGTAAATAATAAAAATGAAACGCTTTTTATGCAATAAACCGTTTTAACTTAGAATTATTTGTGTTAAGAAATTTATATAACATATTATATATATACATCTATATATATATATATATATATATATATATATATAGATATATATATATATATGGATATATATATATATATATATATATACATATATACATAAGTACATCAATTTCTCATTTGTCGAACACAAAGTAAGTGAAAGTAAAATTATATAACATCATATATATTACTTACAGTTGCGTCTAAGTTTTACAAAAGACTTTATATTTCTAAATTCTCCATTAATTTGATATAATTAATTTAGCACACTTTCTGTTATATATCACAAACATATTTTTAAAAAAATATATTCAGTAAATTTAAGATTTCACTAAATTTAAATCATCATTTGAGACTAAACCGAGGCCATTAAAATTTAATAACTTGACATTTTGGGACATAATTTAAATTTTTCAGCCTTGGATTTAAATACTTGAATGTATATATTTTTATAATATACTTTAATAGTCACTTTATGAGATACAATAATTTATTGTCTCGTACATAAATAATTTTTCTAATAATTTCCACAATTAAACTTATAAAATTTCCTTCACACTTTTACACTTAATTTTGCAACTTTATATATTTTTATGATTTTTTTTTATTTATTTATTTTATTACATATTTATTTTACGACATTATCGACAAATAATTCGATTTGAACTAATTTCTGCTACTAAATTCAATTTCGATGCGTTTTTTGCAACATATCATATTGCGAAAAAAATTTACAATCAGCAAAATAATTTCACGCGTCGGAACTTATTACGTAAATAAATGCATTTTTGTTCAAATTTCCAATTGAAATTGTTGGAATAGGTATTTAAGGAGTTGATTTAATTTAAATAATTTATTTAAGTATAAAATTTGGGTAATTTCAAAATTCGATTTGGCTCCATCATGCAATTTTTTAGTCGACTATCTTTACAAGATTCTATTTTTTTGTCGTTCATTTAAATAATTATTATCATTGTTAATAACATTTTGCACGCACGAATAATTTCTTGTTTTTGTCTTAAGGAATGATATATTTTTCGGTAACTTCCTCAATTAAAAATATGAACCAAGGTTATATACAAAATATATATAAAAACTGCAGAATCATAAAAAAGTTGTAAGAACGAATTTTTAAAATATTTTATACCATTAAACTGTTACTTGGAAAACACGATTTTATAGAGTAAATAGGGTAAATTAAATTCAAGAATTTTATTAGCAAAAATTGGATAATAATGCACTTTTTTGTTCTCAACTTTTGGTTTTGATTTTGGTTTAAATTCGTTTTGTTATAATTATTACAAAATAAAAAAAATGAATTTATTTGTAATAGAATAAAATATAATATTTTACAAACAAAAATAAAATAATAACAAATTATGTATACACAATATTTATAATTTTATAAAGCAATTAATGAAATTTCATACAAAAAGCGTTGAACGTTTGACGTACTTTTCTCACAAAATTATTTATATTTAATAATGTACATATAAAAATAATCAAGTTTAGTAATTATATTATTAAAAGTCATATTCAAGTATAAAATATTCAAATTACACATATTCTAACACAATCTTTTTTATAAAAAAAAATATTTTTAAAATTATAGCACCAACATTAATAAAAATATTGCTTCCAAGACAAGTTATAGTTTTTCACAAAATTAATAATTACTTAAATTATTAATTAATATAATATCATATATATATAAAATTATCAATTTTAGTATTTATAGTCATAATAGACAACAGTTATAATAGAAAAAAAATCACATTATGTAGTACATTTCTTCCGAGCAAAATTGTACTTTCAGATCAAAAATAATATAAATTAATAATATATTATATGCAAAAATAAATAATTTTATAATTTATACGTATTGAAGTCTAGTATGCCTGATTTATAAAATTCTTATTCTTAATTTTTATACCACAAAAATAAATTTTTAAAATAATTAAAACACTATTTTTCACACGTTTTATATAGTCATTTATATGAATATTTTCTCTATGTCCAAGTCTTTTTTCGGAAAACAAATTATTTTTAATATCGTATGTATACAAATTGTCAATTTTAGTATTTGTGCTCATAATAGACATATTGAAGTATAACATACTCAAATTTTAGCATTCTATTACAACTTTTGTAATAAAAAAATTCTTAAACATTATTATGGACATTTCCTCCTACATAAGCAATATTTTCTGCAAAGAATAAATAATATTTAATACTACATGTATTAAAATTTCTAAGTTTATCTTTATATTTATATAAGACAAATTGAAGTATATTTTGTCCAAATTTCAAAATTATTGTGCTACTGGTTTACCCTGAAGAGCCCACCAAAAATCACTTTATTTAAAAAACTCTAAATTTATAATCAAACACTGTTAAAATATACATCTCATACCATTTTTCTTTATTTTACTTTTTATTATATATACCTTTTACATTTAAATAAAAACACATTTATATTTTAAAAATATATATATTTGTTAACAACCTACAACCTTATAAATTATTATAACATTAACAATTTATACAAAACAAATATATAACATTAATATAAATTTCGAATAATAATTATTGTCCAAACAAATGGCAGTCTTATTTTATTTTAACAACCGATAAACTTATATTTATATTTAATAATTATAATTATTTGGTTCGAAATATTTGGTTGGCAAAATTTGGCATCATAATATATATGTATATATATATATATATATATATATATATATATATATATATATATATGAACAAATTTTATGTACAGAGTATGAACGCCAAATCAGGCGTAATTATATTTTTATGGTTCTCTCTAATTTTATTTATTTATAAAAAAACTGTTTTTGTTCCCAAAATTTTTGTTTTCATCAACAAATACATTTGTGATGTATTCTTTTATTTTTTTTTCAAATGTGGGATATGTAACATTAACGTTTAGTACACTTTTAAATATGTGACGCCTATGTTTCGTTTCTGTTACATAATAGAAAATATTTTATTCAAACACAGATTGTATTTTCATTTTTGAACTAAAATTCCAGGTTCAGCAAAAAAATTGTTAAGGGAGAAATCTTAAAATTTTGTAATAAAATTCTAACAAGTTCAAGTTGAATTGACAGTACCTTAACATTTTACACTGTGACGTCTATGTTTCGTTTCTATTATGTAACAAAAAAAATATATACATGCACAGTTATGTATTTTCATTTTCCAATTAAAAGTATTAACAGACATCAAAAATCCTTAAAATTTGTGATATAATTCTTTAAAATTTGTAATACAATTTCAAAAAATTAACGTCACCTTAATATTTTCCTTTGTGTCGTGTATGCTTCATATCTGTTACGTAACAGAAAATATTTTAGACATACACAGTTATGTATTTTTATATTTAAATTAAAATTCAAGGAGTTAAATTGTTCAAAAAATATCAAAATACGTACTTAAAAATTGTAGACTAAATAGGTTTCATACATGTTACGCAACAATTTGGTTTCGAAAGACATAATCTCAAAAAATTAAAAAAAAATATATTAAAAAACGTCAAAATGATATGTCTACAAAATTTATAAATAATTGTAATGTATTATATGAGAGCAAGAAATGTTCTATACAATGTGTAATATGTGTCCTGTTTTATATATGTTATGTAACACCTATATAAAGTTTTGTAACACGATGTTTGTCTTAAAAGTACTCTTAAACTACTGAACCGATTTTAATTTTGATTTCATCATCATGTGCATTTATATCCAACTTAGGTTATAGGATATATTAAAAATCCCAGTGCGTAGAAAAAATATTAAAATTTTGGAAATTTCAATGAATTTTGACAGAGATTTATGGTAAAAAATTTAGAAATTTCTAAAGTGTCATGAGATAACTAGATCTCAAATCATAGTCTAGAATTTACATTTATATCCAACTTAGGTCATAAGCAATGTTAAAAATCCCAGTGCGTAGAAAAAATATTAAAATTTAAGAAATTTGAATGAATTTTGACAAATATTTTAGGTAAATAATCTGAAAATTTCTGGTAAGGAATTTTGAGATAACTAAATCTCAAATTATAGTCCAAAATCTACATTTATATACAACTTAGGTTATAGGTAGTATTAAAAATTCCAGTTCTTAGTAGAAATATTAAAATTTAGGAAATTTCAATGAATTTTGGCAAATATTTCTGGTAAAGAATCCAGAAATTTCTGGTAAAGATTCCTGAGATAACTAAATCTCAAATTATAGTCCAGAATTTGCATTTATATCCAACTTAAGTTATAGGCAATGTTAAAAAACCCAGTTTTTGGTAGAAATATTAAAATTTTAAAAATTTGAATGAATTTTGACTTTGAGAATCTAGAAAATTCTGGTAAAGAATTCTGATGATAACTACATCTTAAATTAGAGTCCAAAATTTGCATTTATATCCAACTTAGGTTATAAACAATAGTAAAAATCTCAGTTTGTAGTAGTAATAATAAAATTTTGGAAATTTCAATTAATTTTGACAGACAGAAAATGCAATTTTGTTTGCCTAGAAATCTCTGTTTTGGCATAGAAATCTCTGGTTTCTGGCAAAACCTAGATATTTCTGGTAACAAATTATGAGATCAAACGCAGATTGAACACAATCTCAATTTACAGTTCAAAAAATGCATTGACAGTCACAACTTTGAACCAAAAAAATACAGTAAAATATGTCAGTTCCAAAAATTTGTTATGATGTTAATGAAAGTTAGTTAAAATCGGTTCAGCAGTTCAGGAGTCCATTCAAGACTTTATATCCATTATCCTTTACCTATTTCTATTTGAATTACTTCTTACTGAATCCATAAGAATTCCACTTCCTAATATGATCCTCGTACTTGGTGATCACAGGATACCAGTCCTTACCGCCGTAATCTATGGACGGCAATTGGCCTTTGTAGTTTTGAGGCAAATGGGATGGTGAGATGTACTTGTGTAGTTCTTCCATTTTGCTGCCGTGGAAGAATAACTAGAAAATAAAGAACAAGTTACGTAACCATCTAGATTTTTACCAAAAACTGATCACCAAATTTCAATTCTACTTACCCTTTTCCTCAACTTTTCCTTCACGAATGGTTGGAACATCTTCCAAACCATGTTGAAAATCAAAGGTTGTTTTACGAAGTGCACTTCCTTCATCCTAAGTGGCATCGCGTCCTGGATGAAACTTAATAGTCTCATGGAGAAAGCAGGAGACATAGAAGTTACCTGGAAATAGACAGTAAAATTTGAATTCTGATGATTTTGACAAATTTTTTTCTGGTTTTGGTGCTTCTTTTACCTGTTTCATGCCCAATCCTTCAAAGTCCATAATGCAGACTACTCCTCTAATTTGGGTTTCTGGTTCTAACATTGCTGCTTCGTGAATCAGGTAGAACATGCGAAACATTTGGTCAGATGATACTTTTTTGGGATCCCATTTACCTAAATAGAGAAAATATTTTTTTTATTACTTACATGTTTCAACAATGATGGTGATTTAGATTTTATTAGGATGTTTCATAACATAACAGGAATAACCATTTATGATTGTTTACTTATTTTACTAAGAAATTTGATTGTTAACTGTCTGATTGTGGTCATCAACTTAATTGCTTTTGGATTTTAAACATGATGAGTATAATCTGAAGATTTTATATAGATGTGATACAAAAAATTATTTAATAGCAATATTCATTAGCATTTCTGCTTATTTCTTTATTTTTCTGATAAAGTCTATGATCAACTGTCTGGTTGTATTGATCAGCTTTATTATTTTTGGATTTTGATTGCAACTGTTTTACTAATCGAAACAGAATTTTTGGACTTACCACAAACAAATCTAAATAAAATTAGCTATCAAACGACATTTTCACAAATTTCGGAAGATCTTCCACACAAATTCAATCAGGATTTTAAATCATTAGTTTGACCAACTAGGTGTGACAATTATTACATTAAGAGTGATGTTGGTTTCTAATTACAGATTTTTTGTTTTTTTTATTACTTTTTTATTCTGATAGGGACTTTTATTGTCAGCAGCCTGGTTGTGCTGGTCAACTTCATTGTTTTTGGATTTTAGATGCAACTTTTTTAATAATCGAGACAGAATTTTTGGTCTCGACACAAATAAATCTAAATAAAATTTAATATCAAACGACGTTTTTGAAATTTATGTGAGACTTTTGACACACATTTTATATGATTTTAAAACTACCAGTTCTGACCAGAATAAAAATGATATTTAATAATATTAAGTGTGGTGTTTGTTAATTCTAAAATTAACCAACACAATTTTTCTGTTATTTCTGATTACTTCTTTATTTTGCTAGAAATTTTTGTTGTTAACTGTCTACGTGTGCTGATCAACTTTATTGTTTTTGGATTTTGTTTGGATGCAACTTTTTTACTAATTGAAACAGAATTTTTGGTCACGCCATGAATAAATATAAATAAAATTTGCTATCAAACGACATTTTCAAAATTTTTGTAAGATTTTCCGCACATAATTTACGAAGGTTCAAAACCACCAGGCTAAAATTTGATAATATTAGGTATAAGTGTAAAGAGTGTGATTATGGTTAATTGATCAATATTGTAAAATTAAAATTATACAAAACATAATTCAATTACAATCTTTGATAGCTTTTCTGCCTATTTCTTTATTTTTCTGGAAAAGTATGTTGTCAACTGTCTCTTTGTACTGATCAACTTCATTGTTTTTGGATTTTGAATGCAATTTTTTTAATAATCGTGACAGAATTTTTGGACTTATCATGATTAAATCTAAATAAAATTTACTATCAAACAAAATTTTCAAAATTTTAGCCAGACCTTCAATACACATCATACATATCACACCAGTTTTGACCATGATGAAAATAATGATATTAGTAGTACTTTTGCTAAATTTTTGAATTGGTCAAAATTATAAAATTGAAGTTGTCATGGTAAATTGTATTTGGAGAGTTTTGAAATGATTATTATTCTCTTGATTTTAGTTATTTCTTTGTACTACTGGTGAAACCAGTTGTCTACTAGATTTTTTGGATTTTGAATGCAACTTTTTTACTAATTGTGACAAAATTTTTGTTCTTACCACAAATAAATCTAAATAAAATTTGCTATCAAACGACATTTTCAAATTTTTTTGTAAGATTTTCTAAACACATTTTACAAAGGTTTGCAACTATCAGTTTTAATCAACTCAAAATCAAAAATTTAACTTTAGACGTTATTATAAACAATTTGTAATTTGGACAATATTATAAAATTCAAATTGACATTGTAAATGTTATTTGGATTATTTTTGAACAATTAATTTTTCATTTTCAGTTACTTTTTGATAATACTAGTTGTTCACCTAATTTTTTGGATTTTGAATGCAACTTTTTTTCTGATCCACTTAGAAATTTTTGGTCTTCGCATTATTTTATCTAGACAATACTTGCTACATAATGATGCATTTAAAATTGTTGTCAAAAACACTATAAAAATTTTGCAAACATTTCCGCACCATCTGGGTAAAAACGGTCTTTTTATTACGATTTCGAATGCAACTTTTTTTGTGATAAATCTAGACAAAACTTGCTACAAAACGGTGTACTTAAAAACCTCCTAAGATGGTTATTATTCAGAAAAAATCTACAAGCACCACCATATATCATCTTCACCAAATCCCCTATGAGTGCAACTTTTTATCTATTGGAGATACAACTTTTTGGTCTTCGACAACTAAGTTGCACATAAAATTAGCTAAAAACTGGCATTTTCAAAATTTTTGTCCCTTACCTCCTGCATTTACAATAAGCACTCTTCTGCCGAGTTGATCCCTGTTGGTCAAAACGTTGACAACATCGTTGTCACAAAAGGCAACTCTTTCGTCTTCTGGCATCAAATTGTCCAAAATTGAGTTGTAATCTTTTCGGAATTGGGCAATGCGACGCATCTGGGAAAAGGAAAAAAATAATAAAAAATTTGAAAAAAAAAAACAAATTGGTACAAAAAAAAATATTTGAATACGTGCAATTTTGTGCACTTTGTACTTTATTACAAAAAGTATGAATGTTATCGATATGAAAATTATATATGGTATAATATACACATTTATATACAAATATATACATATACATATATATATATATATATATATATATATACATATATATTAATAGTTATTTTTATATCGATTTATGCTGCAAAAACAGTAGCTCTCATTGTTGTTGGAAAACTGCATCATTTTGCAACTTTTTTCAAACAAAAACATGCATAATTCACGCTCGTTCACATAAATGGTTCCGTATTAATATAAAAACTTTGAAATTATTAATACTTATCTTTGTTTTATGATTTTAAAAACGATAAATGTGGCTGGGAAACGCACGTTGCGTAATTTCTACTCGTACACGTGCACTTGATTAACTAATTTTTTTAATGTAAAAATTAATTATTGGAAATTGTGATGTATGGAAAAGTTTTTGAGAATTATATGCTCTATATACTTGTAGAAGGTTTTGTAAAGAAAAGATTTATAGTTTTGGAGATATTTAATTTTTTGTACAGAAATGTTCTGTGCGCCAAATTGATAAGGCATTGGTCTGGAACAAAAATTTGCTTAAACAACAATTTTTTTTAAAATAAAAGTTGTTTATTGTAAATTGTGATGTATGGAAAAGTTTTTGAAAATTGTATGCTTTGTATATTTGTGAAAGGTTTTATAAAGAAAAGTTTTTTGGTTTTGGAGATATTTGATTTAATGTACAAAAATCTCCCAAGCGTCAAACTTATAATGCATTGGTTTTGGAACAAAATTTTGCTTGAATAACTATTTTTTTAATATAAAAATACATTATTAGGAATTATGATGTATGGAAAAGTTTGAGATTGTTTTATGCTTAAAACACTTGTGAAAAGTTTTATAAAGAAAAGTTTCATAGTTTTGGAGATATTTAATTAATTGTACAAAAAATGTCCCGTGCGTCAATCTTAGTATAAGACAGTTTTTTTGAACTAAATTTTACGTAAAGAATGATGCAAGGGTTTAAATTATTTTTAAACAAAATTTGCAAAAATACTTAATAACATTGTTTGGCAAGTTTGTATAGGATTTTTTGTTCTATATATTTGTCTAATACATCAAACAATTTAGTCCAATATTTTTCAAGATTTTTGACGAAACGTAAAAAAGTGTGCCATCAGACAGATAAAATTCTTACAATTTTCTCTCCACAAAGACGTCAAATATTTCCATATATATATATATATATATATATATATATCTCTCATTTTATCAATATTCTATTGATGTGGTTCTAAGGTCATTTCGTAATCTCGAGAAATAGATAAAAACTGACAGAAATTTCTACAAGTCGCATCATCCACTTCAAAAAAACAATGTATAGAATAAATTTCAATTATGAGATATAATGCACGTGTAATGCACAAGTAAATACTTTTTTATGTAATTAGCTAATTGCAATAATAATGCAATATTGTAATATGAATATTATTTTGCATAAATCAATAGGTCAATCTCGGACAAACTGAGTCTATGGATACTAGTCGTTTAATGGATTTCAAAATAAAATTTTGTTAAACTAAAGTATAAATACACATTTATGTTGTATGAAAAGAATTTAGATATTTTTTCTTCATTTTTCTAACACTATATATAAATCAAATTAGTAGTTTTTGAAAAAGCGTCGAAAATGTTCAAAAATATCCAAACGTTATTGTATATACACAATTTTATAAATTGTTGAGTTTTGAAATTACTTTTTGTTAAAACAAATTACAAATACTCATTTATGTTGTATGGAAAAATTTTAGATAATTCTATATTTTTCTTTAACATTCTATATATATCCAAATTACAGATTTTAAAAAATCGTCAAAAATGTCAAAAAATGTCCTGACTTTATTGTTTGTATACAATTTTATGAATTGTTGAGCTTTGAAATAACTTTTTGTTAAGCAAAATTACAAATACACAATTATGTTGTATGAAAAAAATTTGATAAGTTTGTAATCTACATTTTGTGCTAACATTATATATAAATCTAAATGATGGTTTTCGAAAAATCGTCCACAAAAAAACGCATAAGCAAAAATTCCTATACATACAACATAAACGTACAATTGCAATTGTTGAACTTCAAAATGATTTTTTGTTAAACAAACTTCAATATACATGTTTATTATTTATGGAAAAAATTAAGATAATTCCATAATATACAATTAGTCTTAACATTTTATATGTATCAGAACGATAGTTTTTAAAATTTTATCTAAATTATTCAAAAATGTTTTAACGAAATTATCTATATTCAAATTTTTGATTTGCTCAACTTCAAAATATTTTTTTATTCAACAAACTTCAACATACACGTTTATGTTGTATGAAAAAAATTTAGATGATTTTATAGTCTAAATTTTATTCTAACATACTATATGTATCAGAACTATAATTTCCAAAATATCATCTAAATTATATACAAAAATGTCCAAGCGTAACTGTACTAATTTCAGAACTCATAATTAAGTCAAATTTCAAGTCAAAAATCATATATATTAAAAAATTTATTATTCTCTACGTTTCGGCACTGAATACGTGTCATCGCCCAGCATTTCTAAGAACATACATTCCGGTAAATGTTTTAAAATCAATAATTATTCATACGACTTTATTCCGTTATGCAAAAAAACGCAAAGAAGTTGATGAACTTTAAGCAAAAAATTCAAAGCCAACATGCGTCAATATCGGCGTAATAGGTTTTTAAATGTAATTTAATAGATAGTTTATGCAATTGATACTCCGATTTGCATAAACACTTATTTCGAAGTTGCCCATGAGAAAGAAATATTAAGAAATTTATATGGTTTGGATAGAAATCCTTAAACTAACTCACCAGCTTCAAAAAAGACATATGAGTGCTTTTGGTGAGAAGAGATTTTTGCAATAACATCCCTTGCACATAAAATTCGAAAATGTTTTTGATACTAATTGCTTCACTACATAGCAAAGTATCATTTACAACTTAAACCCAAAATTTGCGACCTCTGGTTTAGTCGCAATTGACATCAACGCACCTCCAAATACCCAATTTTGGATTCGGCGTACAACATCCACAATTTTCCACCAATTTGCACCAAACTTAAGCAAAATGTAGCAACAACATTGCCCTACCACACCACCACAAACCTAACCTCCAAATGCAACCCCAAATAAGTCTTTTACCCCACTTACCAGTTCCAGAGCGCTCTTGGCATAAAATTTGCAAGGTCTCAAGAAAATGACAAGAAATTCATCGTCGTCTCTGTAGCACAAATCTTTAGCTTCTGATAAAAGTTGTCTTAGTTCTACAATTGCAGCTTGACGGACTTCAGGGGTTTCCCTTAATTCCCTGACAGCTATTTCCATGGTCTCGGCGCCAGGGGCGCTGGTGTTGATGGCGAAGCCTTCATTTACGGGCTGGTGATACATCTAAAAAAATAGATAGTTGAAGTGGTAAGAAATTTTTTTTACTTTTGATAATAAATTTTGATAAGTAAATAATAATTTATTTTTCAAGTTAGTTCTTTTGTACGAGTATGTATTTGAGGTGCAATTTTTTAGTTTTGTGTTCATAACATTTTTTGGAATGAAGATAGATTTTTTTGGCTTGGGCAAAATTAATTTACATGCAATTGGTAACAAATTCGTAAAATTTTTATTTTATAGAATAAGTTTTAGTATTTTATTTTATTATTTGAACTTGATACTATAGTTGGAAGACTAAGTAAATGGTTTTGTTTAGTGTATTTTATTAAAAAAAAGTCCTAATATAAAAAATTAATTAAGAACGATTTTTCAAAAATCTGCAGATGCAGATTATAAATTTGTATTATATTTTTTGCAATAAATTCACAAGTCATTAAATATTTATCAAATTTCTTAATTAATTTTAACGCTAATGATAATTTTAATCAATTAATATAATGTCACCTTTATATCAGGTTATGAATTGAACCTTGAAATGACTAAATTGAAATTTTCTTAAAAAATATTATTTAGTGTTAAATTTTTGTTAAATTGTAGTTTTTTTCAAAAATCAGAAAAGTTTTACAGGATTTACAAATATTTTTGCACTATTTATTACTATTTTTATAAATTAAATTTTTTCATTAAAAAAATATGAGATTATATTATTTTATAGTACTTTATAGATAATTTTATGTATACAATTTTAATTAAGTATTTTAATTAAGTATAATTTAATTAATAAGAATAGAAAATAATATATTCCAAGTGAACTTACAATATTTTAAAACTAACTTGGTTCATAATAAAGTATCAAATAATTCAATTTATTAATTTCAAATATTAAAATAAAATACTAGGACTCATGTTACTTTAATTTTAAAAACACCATTTTCTGGAAAATTTTATCAAAAATCGTCCTGTGTTTGTATTTAAAAAAATTGGAAAAAATAAAAAACCAAAAAAATACATCAGGCAAGTTTGCAGGAAAATTTATAAATTAGTCTGTTGAAATGGTAAATTCAAATAATAAAATAAACTATTAAGACTTATTCTATACACTACTTAACTACTTATTTTATCTAAAAAAATATTTAAATGCGTTATATCTATAATAAAAAATTCAGAAAAATTTTAAAAAAATGTTAAAAATTTAACACCAAAAAATGCACCAAAGCTCAAAAATTAAAATAAAATATTAAAACTCATACTAAAATAATTTAAATTACACCGTTGTTTAAAAAAAAATTACCTAAATTCCTGACTTATTAACTAAACTTTTTAATTTTCACCCAAAAAATTACTATAATTAAAAAACCCAAAAAATGTGTCCTTTACAAATTATTCACTGTACTCACCTTTAATTAAAACTGCGTCCACACAAAATCACAAACACTAATAATAACTTAAACTAAATTAAGTTAAAATAAATTATTTAAACTAAAATTAGTATAGATGTTGTTTGTTCGAACGATCTATACTAAATAATGTCATAGGACAGAAAACAGCTTATTATATTTATACGTTAAAATGTTTTGAGATATGATCATGTACATCATACATAGATAATTATATATCTATATATATAAGTATATATATATATAAATGTATATATATATATAAATGTATATATATATATATATATATATATATATAAATGTATATGCATATATAAAAATGTATATATATATATATATATATATATATATATATATATATGGATTTATAAAGTCAAGAGTTCAAAATAAATTCACATAATTTTTGTACAATTTCGATTTTTAATAATTTTTTATATAAAATAAGTTTACTGTAAAATTTTGAATGTAAGGAAATATAAAATTAGAGATATTTTTTTTAAATGCAAAATTATTTGTGTTTAATATTTTTGTTTTGATAAATTAAATAAAACAATTTATACTTCATTCATAAATAATTATTAAAATCTAATCAAAATCAAATGAGTCTTTTAAATAATTTTTTTGGTAAATATATTGTTTATATTAAGGGTAGTATTTATCCAAATTTTTATACTGATAATACAATTTTGAATATTTTTTTATTTTAACAAATAGTTTATAAATATACATATAATATATATGTACAAAAATTACAATTTTTGGACATTCCAAATTTTATACAATATACCTGATAACATATTTGAAAATTTGTAGTACTTAACTTAATATACTTTAGAACAAACATACAAATAAAAAAATACTTTAGTACAAAAGTACACTAAAAATTATATATCAAAATCAAAGTTTTTAAATTGAAAATATATTTTTGTAGAGCTCTACAGGACACACCGATTGCAATACAGAACCACAAATTATACTTTAATATATATAAAATAAATTGTTTACATAAAGGGTAGTATTTATCCAATTTCTTATACTGAAAATGAAATTTTGAATATTTTTTCATTCTAAAAATAGTTTATAAATACACATGTAATGTACAAAAATTACAATTTTTATGATAAATATTATTTTTTATTGAAAAATAAAGTTTGTTTTATATTTTACTATTTTAAAAAAGCGTTCATCAATAACATTCGAATTAGTTTCATTAATAAAAAAAAATAATATTGTTAATCGAATCGTCTAAGGTATTTTTCTAGGTTAATATTATGTTATAAACACAATAAATTATTATATAAAATTAATAAATGTAGTTTAAAAAAATATTTGAAAATGTTCAATTACATTTTTAAATTAAAAATGCTTTTTTAAATATGTTTATAAATATACATGTAAAAAATACATTAAAAATAGTTTATAAATATACATGTAATATATATGTACAAAAATTACAATTTTCATGATAAATATTATTTTTTATCAAAAAATAAAGTTTGTTTCATATTTTACTATTTTAAAAAAGCGTTCAATAATAACATTCGAATTAGTTTCATTAATCAAAAATAATAATATTATTAATCGAATCGTGTAAGGTATTTTTCTATGTTAATATTATGTTATAAACACAATAAATTATTATATAAAATTAATAAATGTAGTTTAAAAAAATATTTGAAAATGTTCAATTACATTTTTAAATTAAAAATGCTTTTTTAAATATGTTTATAAATATACATGTAAAAAATACATTAAAAATAGTTTATAAATATACATGTAATATATATGTACAAAAATTACAATTTTCATGATAAATATTATTTTTTATCAAAAAATAAAGTTTGTTTCATATTTTACTATTTTAAAAAAGCGTTCAATAATAACATTCGAATTAGTTTCATTAATCAAAAATAATAATATTATTAATCGAATCGTGTAAGGTATTTTTCTATGTTAATATTATGTTATAAACACAATAAATTATTATATAAAATTAATAAATGTAGTTTAAAAAAATATTTGAAAATGTTCAATTACATTTTTAAATTAAAAATGCTTTTTTAAATATGTTTATAAATATACATGTAAAAAATACATTAAAAATAGTTTATAAATATACATGTAATATATATGTACAAAAATTACAATTTTCATGATAAATATTATTTTTTATCAAAAAATAAAGTTTGTTTCATATTTTACTATTTTAAAAAAGCGTTCAATAATAACATTCGAATTAGTTTCATTAATCAAAAATAATAATATTATTAATCGAATCGTGTAAGGTATTTTTCTATGTTAATATTATGTTATAAACACAATAAATTATTATATAAAATTAATAAATGTAGTTTAAAAAAGTATTTGAAAATGTTCAATTACATTTTTAAATTCAAAATACTGTTTTAAATATGTTCTTATATTTGTGAAGTAACACAATTTTAAAATAATAAAAAAATCTATCCTAATAGAAAAAAATGTTAAAGTTGCTAAACCAAAAAAATGTAGAGACTTGCCTCATATAATAGTATTAAATAAAAGGTTTTTTCGTTCTAAAAATAGTTTATAAATATACATGTAATATATATGTACAAAAATTACAATTTTTATGATGAATATTATTTTTTATCAAAAAATAAAGTTTGTTTCATATTTTACTATTTTAAAAAAGCGTTCAATAATAACATTGGAATTAGTTTCATTAATCAAAAATAATAATATTATTAATCGAATCGTCTAAGGTATTTTTCTATGTTAATATTATGTTATAAACACAATAAATTATTATATAAAATTAATAAATGTAGTTTAAAAAAATATTTGAAGATGTTCAATTACATTTTTAAATTCAAAATACTGTTTTAAATATGTTCTTATATTTGTGAAGTAACACAATTTTAAAATAATAAAAAAATCTATCCTAATAGAAAAAAATGTTAAAGTTGCTAAACCAAAAAAATGTAGAGACTTGCCTCATATAATAGTATTAAATAAAAGGTGATTTTATTTAAGTTTAATTAATCTAAGCTAATAAATACATAAAATCAAAACAATATAGAGTATTCTACTCCCAATTTAACTAAGTAAAAGTAAACAATTTTATTCTAAAATAGTATAATGTTAATTGTATGATTTATTTTAAAATTGTTTGAAAAATATAGCTTTATAAGCAATTATATGTAATTTATTTTTATATAAGTTTTCCGTCTATATTTTTTATATAAAATTTCCATCTTTTTTTTTCAAAAATATTGAAATTGCTAAACCAAACCAAGGAGCTTTTCATTTAGTTCATTTTTTGGAAAATTCTATCAAGTAATATGATTTATGAATACTAAAAAATTATATATACATATATATATATACATACATATATATATATATATATATATATATATATATATTAATAATTAATATTTTTGATCAACATAAGTTAAAAAAAACAGTATTGAACTGTTGATTGTACCAAAGATTCAAAATTCAATTCAGTGGATTTTAAGAGAAGCCACTGCAAATCGTGGCCGGGTATGCTAGTATATATATATATATATATATATATATATATAAATTAATTATAAACTTATAATAGTAGATACTATTTATTAAATATATTAAATCATGGGCAATAAGTAAATTGTTTATTTATAAGAAATAGTATACTAATGACATACATATTTACAATTTCTAATTTAGATTGAATTTCAAATCAAAACTATGTTATATGAGGTCATTATAATTTTTTCTCATATATCAATATATATATATATATATATATAATATACAAACATATTTATTAAATATAATTTGTTATCTTTGAAAAGCAAGCCATAGTTCAAACGCGATCACAATTTTTAATCTCATTATTATATCACTGATGGACAAGATAAAACTTCTTAAAGATTATAAATTTCATATTGATAAATACAAGAGAGATTACTTTATTAATTAAATATTTTAAAAATTGTTTATAGTGAAGCACTGAATTTTTTTTTTTGTTTCAAAAGGTCAAAAATTTACTTGGCCGTGGTACTTTCCTGAAAAAAGTAATAATTATAATTGATATTTTTGGTAAATGATTGATTACGTGATTGAACACGCATTTTTTTAAAAACATATATTTATGTATATATATATATATATATATATATATATATATAAATATGAAATTCCCATTTCTTTCAACTTGCCATTGACCTGTACGATTGTAGTTTTTTGCATGTTCTAAGGTATTTGTTTAAAATAGAAGAAATACTACACTAGTTTTCTAAAAAAAAATTGAATTTCTATATATATATATATATATATATATTAAGTATTATATATAATTATATTTATGTTTGATTATTAAAGTTAAATTAATTGAACAAAATTTATATGAAAAAAAAATCTAGAGTATAAAATGTAATGAAAAAATATTTGAGTTGACTTGATTTTTAAATTATATTTTTATTCAACTTTGCAAGAGCAATAGTATTCTGTTTATAATATGTCATTACTTAATATATAATATAATATATTAACTTGATATAAAATATAAAATACAACAAAATAACATTTTAATAGTAATAATTAAATAAAAAATAATATAGTCCAAAAGTGCACCAAAATATTCTTAACAAAATTGGTGTTTTAAATATGATTTCAAATGCACTTTTCAACGAGCTCTGCAGGGCATAATTTTCACATTAGGACATTAAAATTTTCACACAGTATTTTTCAATATCTGGTTTGTAATGTGCAATACTTAGATTAATATACTCTGAAGCAAATAAAAAAATAAAAAAATAATTTAGTACAAAAGTACATCATAACGCTCTATAAGAATTGTTAGAAGATGCATATTTAAAAAGCTCTGCAGGGCATATGAGTGATACTAAAATGTTCAAATTTTTGTACAATATTTCTCAATATGTACTTTGTAATATGTTGTACTTAAAGTAGTTGGAGCAAAAAACTGAATAAAAAATACTTCCAAAAATACACTGAAACGTGTTCTAGAAATTATTCAAAGATACATATTTAAAGAGCTGTGTAGTACATATTACTTGTA